CTGCGAGAGTCCAGCAAGGAACTGGAGGAGAGAGGTCTTCTCCAGCTCCGTGCAGGAACTGGCGGGGGTGGTCAAAGAGATCAGCAGCAGAGTAGCAAGGCCAAGGAAAGGTACGGATAATCTGCTGCAGCACTTGTGTGAAACTTGGTTTGGCCGCCACATGGCTTCCTGTTTAGACTAGCTTAGCCTGTGCTCTGTCTAGATGAAGAGCCAAATGGAATGGTCTAATCAGGATGAGCACGAGGTAGAAGGAAAAAGAGGGCGTGCTTTCATCCTGGCTACCAGTTCCTAGTTGTAGTCACCTCAAAGAATGATGAAGTCCATGGTTAAATGTTATTGGAAAACCCTCCTTATGGCTGTGTTTTACTAACATACTCGTATATAACAGCTCACTTATTCACAGTTTGACATGTCACCGATTGATGGCTGCCTGATAAGGGACGTCCAACTGACCAAGCTTCCTGACTGTACGAAATATCTTCCTTCTAAAAAAAACACATATCTGGATAAGGGAACGAAACGCCAAAAAAGACCACTTCTCACCCTATTCTGCAGTACTACTTCAGCGGTACTTTTCAGCGAACGAACAATTTTTTCTCTCACAACAAATCAGCATCAGCATAAGCCAAATTTCAGCGAAACGAACAGGGCCCCACTAAATGCTTACTACCTCCGTTGTAAAACATAGGAGACTTTTAGTTGTCCTAAGTCAAACCATTTTCAAATTTTTACTAAGTTTTTAAAGAAGAGTATTAACATCACCACATCAAGGAGGTAAATTATGAAGATACATTTCATTATGGTGTACACCGTTTTGACTTTTCTAGATTTATGTCTTTTGCTATGCACTTAGATATACAGTGTGTCTAGATACATAGTGAAAACAATATATCTAGAAAAGCCAAAACATCTTATAATTTGGAACGGAGGGAGTAATAAAACTCATTTGAAATTTAAAATGTTTTTTTATTATGAATTTGGTCAAATTTAGAATGATTTGATTTAGTACAACTAAAAATCACTTATATTTTAGGATGAGGGAATTTATGGATAATGAAAAATTGGCGGGATTTACAGTGATCTAACATCACTTCTTTAATCCGATCACTGCATATTTCATGGGACAATATATTGGATTTGTGAATTTGCAAGTAAAAAACACTCCTAGAAATATAAATTTAGAAAGCTCCAAAACACTATTGGTTGGAAAAAAAAGACCCACCGGCTAAGGCAAGTTAGGCGCGGATAACCATTGGACAAGCTGCGGCAAAACCGAGCCAGGCGGTAGTGCAACATGAGCGACATTGATTTGGCGTCAGGTCATGATTGGGAGCGAATTAAGTCACATGTAAGGGCTAGTTTGGTAGAGCTCCCAACTAGCTCTTGCTCTGGCCGCTCCCCAGTCGAAATCTGAGGCATTTGGTGGGGCTTCTCCCTTAACTCCACGACGTTGTGGCGGGTCTAGGGCGAAGAACAGAGCAGGGTGGTGGGGGAGGCGAGGAGGGCACGACGGAGGCAATAGAGTGGAGCGTCTCGTAGAGAAGGACGCTATGGAGGCGCGGGAGGGCGTGGCAAGGGACACGAAAGAGGTGGAGAGGGGCAAGGGGAGGTGGCAAGGGGCACGACGAAGGCGGAGAGTCAGAGAAAACGATGGGGAAGACGAAGAGGGGCGCAAGGGAGATGGGGGAGCAAAGCGGAGTGGAGGTGTGGAGAGTGGAGACAGAGCGGGTGAGTGTTTCTGAAGAGGAGCTATGCGCGCTAGCAATATTTAGCAGCACTCCACCGATTATCGTGCGGAGTAGAGCGGCGGAAGCGCTGCCAAACAAGCCCTGAATATAAGGCCAGTCTTAGTGAGAGTTTCATGAGAGTTTTATTTGCATTTAATAGCATGCCACATATGCATTTTTGATGACATGACACTATTTTAATGAAGAGAGAGAAGAGATGAGTTTCATGGGGATGAAACTCTATTGGCACGATTACCAACTCTATGAGTCTTATTAGAATTAAATGTCTATGAAACCATGGAATGAAATTTTGCATTGAGAGTGGGTGTTTCATCCAAGTTTCATTTCATTCTATATGACATGGCAGTCTTGGAAACAACGTAATGAAACTCTCCACTGAGACTGGCCTAAGGAGTTGAGAGGGTCGGTTGGCTAACCTTTTGAGGAGAGATTTTTCATGTATATATTACACTAAAATCTGGTTTAAGGAGGTTTTAGCAAATTCTTGTTGATGTTTGGATTCTATATGGGATAATAACTAGCCACTAAAATGTCTATTAGCCAAGCAAAACTAGCTAATAGGCTAATAGTTCATTGCTAGATATGTATGTATACGGGTTAAAACATGCCTGGGTTAACGGTTGGATGTCTAATTTTTAGTTAACTAACGAACTAATTTTTAGCTCTAGCTAACAATTTATTTTAGCCGATTTAAACAGACGTTAGGAATGACGTCAACTGTAGGCCATTGGAGCGAAGAGAAACAAGCATGAATTTGGGCTCTACAGATAACGATGAGCACAGGATTTGGTCTTCGAAGCTCGGAGTGGCGCACCATCGCCGTACGTCGCGGGCACGAGCGACCTCCATCGCCGTATGTCGCGGTCACGCATGACGCAGTCGAACGGGATGAGGATTGGACGAATGCGCGATCTTGACGGGGCGTCGTCGCTGTCGCCTCTACTTCCAGCCCTAGCTTCCAGTTCCACCAGCCTCGCCGCGCCACCCAGTGGATTCTCCAAATCCCGGAACCCTAACCTTTTCTTCTTTCTTTTGGTGAGTGGCGCGTGGATGGGCTGCGCGACCCACCGTGTGACAGGGTTTTTTAAGGAAAAAATCTATATTACCTCCCTTAATTTTCGTAAAAGTCCGTTTTCCCCCTGAACTCCAAAACCGGGCAAAACACCTCTCTCAACTTTTAAAACTGTTCATCTTGCCTCCCTGGCTCGGTTATAAGCGATTTTGAAGGTGGTTTTGTCTTTTTCTTTTTTATTTATTTGGGCTGAATCTTTGAAAAATTATAGTAAATCATAGAAAAATTATAATATGAAAAATCTAATTTTGTTGGACTCCACAAGAGTAGATCTACACAGTGAACATATAATATGGTATGTTTTAGTACAAAATTTTTGTTGTAGCTTTAGATCTATATTTTTCTGTAATTAAATGGAATAATTCATAATTGCAGTTTCTATGGTCAAATTGTGATGAAATTTTTATGGTGGGCTAATTATTGTGTGCTTAAACTGTAGTAAAAATTTCATACTCATTGGATCATGTATAACTTAGTTATAAATTTTATTTAGGTTTATACTCATTAAATATAAATAAATCTATAACTACGCTATAAATGATCCGATGAGTATGGAATTTTTACTACAGTTCAATCATACAATAGTTAGCTCACCATAAAAATTTCATCATAATTGGACCATAGAAACTGCAGCTATGAATGATTCCAATTAATTACAGAAAAACATAGATCTAAAGCCACAACAAAAACTTTGTACTAAAGCATACCATATTATATGTTCACTGTGTAGATCTACTCATGTGGAGTCCAACAAAATTGGATTTTCCATTTATAAATTTTCTATGATTTATTATGATTTTTCAAAGATTCAGCCGAAATAAATATAAAAAAGACAAAATCGCCTTGAAAACTGTTTATAACAGGGCCAGTGAGGTAAGATGAATTGTTTTAAAAGTTGATGGAGGTGTTTTGCCCGGTTTTAGAGTTCAGGGAGGAAAAATAGATTTTTGCGAAAGTTGAGGTACCTAACGTGGATTTTTTTCTTTTCGGAACGAGAGGCCCCAGCAGGCCAGCAGACGTTGCAACGGCCTGCTGCCTGCACGGTCGCCGCGCGCTGGAACAGCTGGGCTCTCCCTCGCTCCGCATGACTGCGAGGTGCGAGCTACGCGTGTAGGCACGCACAGATTATGGCACATTTCACATTGAGATTCCAGCCCCCAAACCACTCTCCATGAAGGCCCAGACGTGCTACCCACCCCATGTGTGGGTCCCGCAGACTCACAGTCCAGCCCAGTTCATTGTCTCCAACCGGAGCAGCAGCGACGGGCGGCGGCGCGGGGAGCCAACACGCACGCGCTACGGCGGCCGGGGCTGGGTGACCGGCTCGGGAAGCGCGCCTTACGGCGTGACGCGTTTGGTGTCCTCCGCTCTGCTCGCAAGGTGAAGTACCTGTCTGCGCAAAGCTTTCCATTGTTCGTTCAAACTATCGAATCAAATGGAGGAATTTGTTTTTAGGTTTCCCTTCTTGCTCGCCTCTCTTGTACAATTTGAAATGCGAGATGATTTCTGTTTGCTGCGATGGAAAACACACACCATGAGTCCATGATTAAGTGGCACACTAGACACTAGTACCACTTAATGCCTGATGGTTATCGCATGCCGTTACAAATTAGGATCTTATAGTTTGGACTCTAAGCTACTAATAGCCATCTATTTTTATTCACCACGCGTGTTCACAGATGTTTTTTTAAAGATACGTGTTCACAGATGTGACATCACAGTAAACTTCGAGAATATTTACCATACTTTTTTTAAGGAAATATTTACAGTGCTTTGAAAAAAAAAATACTCCCTCCGTTCCAAATTGGGCTTTTCTAGGTACATTTGTTATATACACCTAGATATCTTATATCTTAGATACATAGCATGTCTAGAAAACCAGAACAACTTACAATTTGGAATGGAGGGACTACATATTAGTCTGTTTACTGACTATAAACGTTCCATCCTTGAATTTGCTTCCAAATTTGGAGAAGCCAACTAATGTCAAGTGTTTATCCTGCAGTGGAATGGGACGGGATCACTGACCCAGACTTGCTCAAGGGAAAACACTGGAGATCACAAATTCAGGACATGCTTCTCTACGGTTACAAAGCTGCAGTTGTTTGCTGGGAGCTTCAGTTACATCCATTGCTTATCTTCATTCTCCAAGCCAGGATACATTGCAGCAGCACTTTTCCTTACCCAAAATATCTGGATAGTACCATCTGATCATATAGCACTCCTACTCCAAGGAAAACAGCAAAGGCCACAGCAAAGACGATGTCTTCACCACACAGTCCCGTGGAGCGAATGGGCGCAGGACCTGCCTCTACTGAAGCACTACATTGCTGAATGAACATAGGGCCACACATCCTTGGGTTCCCAGCGAAGCTAGAATTCGGAAACGTGCAAAACTGGCCTCCTGTCGGAATAGGGCCGTCCATGTCATTGTTAGAAATGTTGAAGTAGGAAAGGAAGTGAAGGTTCTCCAATGCCCCAGGGATTTCACCTGTCAGGTGATTGTTGGACAAGTCCAGCACCTGCAGGTTTGTGAGGTTGCTGAATGATTGCGGAACCTCCCCTTGTAAGTTGTTGAAACTCAAGTTGAGCTCCGTGAGCCCTTTCAGATGACCAATCTCCAGTGGAATCTCCCCAGTGAACTCATTGTTGCCTAGATTCAGCAGTTTAGGGCAGTAATTGGCCTTGTGGTATTCAAGAGATGCAGCCATGTAAACAGGCAGCGGAAATACTTGGTTTGAACCATCTACAATATTCTCAGATTCTAGCATCGGTAGCTTCATCAGTGCTTTTGGGATCTCCCCTACAAGGCTGTTATTGGATACATCTATAACGAACAAGAGATTTAAGCTGCTGATCCAGGCAGGTATTGATCCAGTGAGTTGGTTGCTGTACAAAAATAGCTCCTTCAAATTTTGGAGCTTTGAGAGCCAGTGAGGTATTTTTCCTGACAGTGAGCAATCAGCCAAGGAAAGAATCTGAAGATTTTGATAACCATCGATTGTTTCATCTTCTGGCATGGCCTCGCCTTTGAAATTGGTACCAATCAGCAGAGTTGTAAGGTTCAAAGAACTCTTGAGGACCTGAAGGGTATTTGTGATATTTGTGAAGGAGTTGTTTGTAAGGGACAGGAACCTGAGGGACTTGAGGTTGCCTATTCTTGGCGAAAATTGGCCACGGAAGTTGTTGGAAGACAGTCGAAGCGCAATGAGATTGCTGCAGAAGTATAGGCTCTCAGGAACTGTACCAGCGAACTTGTTTTGCATAAAATCTAGAATTTTTAGGTTGGGTAAGGTGAAGTTGACATTGTTTAGATCTCCATGAAAACTGTTGAACCGGAGAATGATAGTTCTGAGATTGGAGCATCTGCTTAGAGTCGATGGCAGCTCTCCGGACATGCTGTTGTACTCTAAGTGAAGCTCCTCTAGTCTCTTGAGCTGCCCAATAGAATCCGGGATATCGCCTGTGAGTCCATTCTCTGCAAGGTCAAGGATAACCAAATTCTCGAGTTTGACCAAATGCTCGGCACTGAGTGCTCCTTGCAAGCGGTTGTTTGGAAAAGAGAGGTGCTCTAGAAAGGTAGCGTTGTAGAGCTCATTTGGCAGAGTCCCATCGAGTTTGTTGTGACCGGCCTTGAGCACTTTTAGCACAGAGCAGTCACCAAGATCCACCGGTATACTTCCGTTGAATTGATTAAAACTCAGGTCAAGCACCGAAAAGAATGGCTTTTTGACACATATGGTGCTGGGAATTTCTCCAGTGAAGCTGTTATTGCTCACGTTGAGAGCAACGAGATTCTCCATACTCTCCAATGTGATGGATGGAATTTCTCCTGTAAACTGGTTGCTTGAGATGTTGATTACCTGCATAGGCTGTCCAGCCGTAGAGGGCAGCTTGTGGAGGTCACCATTTAGGTTGTTGAAGCTGACGTCAAGGACAACCATGCTTCTGGACCACAATAGTTCCGCCGGGAGACCACCGGAGAGTGAGTTGCACGACAGGTTGAGGCTCAGCAGACTGGTGATGTTGCCAAGCGACGGCGAGATGCGCCCCTCAAGGCCCATGGAAGCCAGTGAGATCTCTGTGACAGCGCCATCAGCGTCGCAGGTGATACCCTTCCATGTGCAGCAGTTTGTGCCGTTCCTCCAAGAAGTGCTGAGGCCAGAGTCTTGCGAGAGCCCCTGGACAAACCTGAGGAGGGAGATCTTGTCCTGCTCTATGCACACACAGCTGGTGGGAGAGAGTAGGGAGAGCAATGGCAGGAGAGCAAGACCAAGCGATCGTATAGGCCATGATCTGGTTGTTCTGTTGTTCTTGTTCCATGAAGAGTGGAGTGGCTGCATGGTATCTTCCATGGAAGTATGGAACATCCAAGGAATCAGATTGTCAAGCGTGCTGGGCCTTACCAGTGCCCTGCTAAATAGAGGACCAGCACATCACAGAGTCAATGCTTTCAGCTCCAGCAAACCTAAACTTTAGCCACGTTTTGTTCATGGATCATGGAAGATAAAAGGAAGCAGGTTGGTCCAACGATACTTTTGAACTTTTGGATGATCCGAGGCTTTCACCTTTTCTGACGTGTAGAAACACACTCGCAGAAATGCAGGTGTATATCGTTCTTGATGTCGCATTTGGATTCCCTCTGCAGTCTCTGAACTTTCACTGTCCACAAAATTTGTTGAGAAGTGGTCCAGCTTTGGAAATGTTGCCCTCCCTAAAGCTCAGCTCTGCCAGAACGCATGCCATTGCCATGGCCCGTGTTGCTGTTGCCCTTCGCTGGGCACACAACACACGTCCTGATCAGCTTTCGGGGAGAAAGAAAGCCACAGATTCCCACCACGATTTACATGTGCAAACGCATCCCAACCTACATTGCGACTGCACCCAAGAGGTCAATATCGCGATCGCAACCACTGTGGTGGTGTCAAAGTGATTGGTTGATCCACGTGTGTGTGTGCACTCCCTTACATTCAAAAAAAAGTGTGTGCGTGCTCCCAATTTCTGCTCCAATAATGAAGTTTGAATCTTGAAATGCTTGTGATGTAAGCCTTGTATAAAAAGCATTCAGCTGAGTTGTATCCCTCATTTTGTTGGCACAATTACTGCGTTGCACAGATGATTCGGAAGTCGATACTGTGGATGCAGTACATTTAATTGTACATAACACTTTACTGTATTTCAATACAGCACATATTGTTCTATGCCTCAAAGCACGGACACGGCAGGGAAGGGGCGTATCCCGTATCGGATACGTATCCGATACGGATACGCCTGGGATACGGTCGGGATACGTATCTGCGGCATATCCGTGTATCCCAGCTTATTTGGGCTGGAAACTAACGATTGGAAACGTTTTGGTCCAGTCGATACGGCCCAGCCGACCCAATAGCTTACCACCATCCCACCTTTGCCCTACTCCCGTCTCCCGACCCCTCCCAGTCTCCCACGCGCAGCCGCCTCATGCAGTCGCCTCCGCCGGTCGCCAGTCAGCCTCCGCCCTCGCCGGTGACCAGCCTCCGCCCCTCACCACCAGCCCCGTGCAGCTCGCCCCCGCAGCGCCCGTCCCCTTCCGCCACGCATGCCTTGAGGACGGACGCGAGCGTGCACCCGTCGGGCGCCGATCCCGGGGCCGCTGACGCCCGCATGGCACCGTAGACCCGCAAAGGCCTCACCGGCGCTCCAGGACGAGTACGCCCCGACGAGCGCGTTCCAGGAGAAGACGGTCCGGGCGGGCATTCCGTTGAACAGGCGACAAGGGCATCCCCGACCAGCCTCCGCCCTCGCCGGCGACAAGGAGCCCCCTGCTTAGGTGAGTTCCTCTCCCTCCCCAATCCAATTTAGAGCTGAGCCAGTGCGCCATGCCCCATTAGGCCAAAGGCCATTACCCCTTCCTGATTACTGATTAGAGCCTTTTTTTATTTTGTCCAATGTTCATTGTCCAGTATGGCATCTCCAAATTTGAGTAGTGCAGGTAGTGCTAGTGCTACTCCTAGTGGTAGTGTGGGATCTGGGTCCAGAGAAACAACTGATATCAAGGCTCCGCTGTGGGATCATGTTATTCTGAGTGTAATAGACCTTAAATGTCTCTACGTTGAACTTGAACATCTATTTTATAATTTAATATGCATTGTTATCTATTTATTAATAAAATAGTTAAAACGTATCCGCGTATCGGGTTGTTAAAGAAATTGCCGTATCCGTATCCTTCCGATACCGATACGCGTATCCGTATCAGTGCTACTTTGGTTCTATGCTTACAGGGACCAGTCTATTGATCTGTTTTCCTATTATTTCTCCCTTTTTTCAAGCAGAGGGCACGACTGAACATGGCTAACAAAATTTGAACTTGACAAATCAATCGAAGATGAGCTTGTCTGTATATTGTTCTGTTGAGATAATGGAGACCAGAGCTGCATCTACTGAACTACGATGATACATTACCGTAGGGCTGCACAGCTTTGGGTTTGCAACAAAGCTAGAATCCGGAGGGTGATAGTTTTGAGATTTGTGCAATTGCTTAGAGCCGATGGCAGAAATCCAAACATGCTGTAATATAGCAACTCACAAGCTCCTCCAGCCTCTTGAGCTGCTCAACAGAATTTGGGATACTGCTAATTTGCCATTAGCCCATTCTCCCAAGATCAAGGATAACCAATTTGCTGGACAGGACTACATACTCAGGATCAAGTGTTTCTTGCAAATGGTTATTACGGAAGGGGAGGTGCTCTAATGAGGTGATTGATCTTGAAGAGGTTAGCGGTGAGGATCCCACAGGGCACATTATGAAAATGAAAACGATGAGTCTACAACTAAGAAAATCAATATAGGTCTCGACCCACATATAAAAAGAAAACCAGTCTAGGACATCTCCCTAAATCTTGCAAGAAAAAATGATTACAAAAATATGGATCATATCGAGACAAATGTTCCTATGTAAAAATACGTATACAATTTTTTCTCTCTCGATGAAATGACACGCAGTTCTCCTGCATCCGTTCGAGAAAAAATAGGTATACAAGTTAGCAAGTTGAACACCGTAAAAAGTGGACATTGGACGCTGCCAATACGTGTAAAAATAAGACATGCTCAAGCTAGAATCTCACGCCCTACTTCTCACCAGTCATTTTTTAATAAAAAAATCCCTTCTTGCCATTCGTCTCCTCCGGGCTCCGGAGACCATTTTTGGTCCTGACCTCGTGCGGCCTAGCCCACACATCTAAGGCCCATCTCGTATCCTGCACGAACGCGCGGGATGCGGCGGCTCAGCACCACCACCACGCCATGGGACGCGTCACACCACACGGGCACACGTCACGCTCGCACCGGTGGGCGGGCGGCGGCGCCCGGACGGCCGAGGGTCACGTCACATCCATCCAGGCAGCGCGCTGCGCTCCAGAGGTAACTAGTGCGGCGAAGGTCTTGCGGAGGCCGGGCTGCTGCTGCGCAATCCGTGTCCTTGCCATCAAAGTTTGGCTCTAGCAGAGCAGCAGTTGTGGCGTCTGCTCTCTATTTTGGTCCTAATTACTGGTTCCATATTCTGTCGTGGATGTATCCGCACCCCCCTCGAGTCTTACTTAGATTCGCCTTCGCTTCCATAATTCCATTTAGATTGCTTTGGTGGTTTGGATTAAGGCGGCTTAACACACTGGCCTCACAAGGTATTAGTAGATCTGCTCCCCAGGGGCGGATGTAGTGTTCGTGCATGGGGGTACAGCTGTACGCCTGTACCCCCCAAATCTTTGTACAAATAGCAAGTATGTATGTATGATACATTATATATTTAGAACACCTTCTCAAATAGCCATCTCTTAAGAAAAAGTGCTCATCCGAGAGGAAAAATAGCCTTACAACGGTGCTCCCTCACTTCGTTTACTCAGTCACAACATCAATTCTCAGACTTATACAGAGTAAATGTTATAAATGCAGTCACACAGTCTCTCAGAAACACACAGAGTCGCATTAACTCAACAAATTAACATAGTCCAATGACATACTCCCATTTCAGTTCATTTCAGTACAGATTATTCTGCGCCTCCACTGATATCATCCATTGAGTGGAGGGCATGGGCTAAATGCCGCTAGCTATGAGATGTGTTGGTCTTGCTGCTGCTGGAGCCTCTCGATTGCATTACTGAAGTTTGAAGCTGTGGCTGTTTATTGCTAGGTTCTGTTCTGTACACTGCGTATCCGAAACCAGGACACATTATTGTAGAACATTTCTACTCAAGTAGCTTCAGCCGAAATAAATATATCTGAATAGGACCATCTGGTCGTACAACACTCCGACACCGAAGAACATACCAAAGGCCATCGCAAAGATGACCTTGTCGGTGTACTCTTTTGTGGAGACAATGGAGACCGGAGCTGCATCTGTTGAATTACAGTGGTGCATCAGCGCAGCGCTGCACAGCTTTGGGTTCCCAAAAAAGCTAGAATCTGTAAATGTGCTAAACTGGCCTCCAGTTGGAACAGGCCCTTCTAGATCGTTTCTGGAAATGTTGAATTTGGAAAGGAAGTGAAGCCTCTCCAGTGCAGAAGGGATTGCACCGGTCAAATTATTGTAGGATAAGTCTAGCACCTGCAGGTTGGTGAGGTTGCCGACTGATTGTGGGATCTCCCCATGTAAGTTGTTGAAGCTCAAGTTGAGTGTAAGGAATGCTTGTAGCTGGCCAATCTCTGGGGGAATTACACCGGTGAACTTGTTGTTTCCTAGATTTAACATTTTAGGGAAGCCACTGGTTGTACGGTATTGAAGAAACGGTGTCAGGTAGATAGGAAACTTAAGTACTATTGGGTCAGAGTGAGCTGCCTCAAGCGTTGGCATCTCCGTCAGTGCTGTTGGTATGTCACCAGTAAGATTGTTATTGGATATGTCTAGATAGAAAAGAAGGTTTAAGCTATTAATCCAGGCTGGTATTGGTCCACTGAGTCTGTTGTTGTCTAATAGCAACCCTCGCAAATTTTTGAGCTTAGCCAGCCAGTTAGGTAGCTTACCATACAGTGGACATTCATTTATAGCAAGACATATAAGATTCTCAAAGCCATGAAATTCATCATAGTCTGGCATGGTCTCATGCTTGAAGTTGCCCCCAATTAGCACGAGAGCGAGGGTCCTGGACTTACTGAGGATTTGAAGCGTTTTTGTGATATTTGTAAAATTGTTGTGAGCGAGAGCTAGGAATCTGAGGGACTTGAGATTGTTTATCCCCGATGAAAATTGACCATGAAGGTTGTTGAAAGATAGCCGCAGTGCAATAAGGTTGCTGCAGGAGTAGAGGCTCTCTGTAATTGTGCCAGTGAATTTGTTTGATCTGCAATCTAAAAATTTTAGATTAGACAGGGTGGAGAAGTTGACACGTTTGAGATCTCCTTGGAACTTGTTGTCTTTAAGGATGATGGTGTTGAGATTGGAGCAACTGCTAAGAGCTGGTGGCAGCTTTCCAGACATTTTGTTATTGTCTAAGTGAAGCTCCTCCAGCCTCTTGAGCTGCCCAATAGATTTTGGGATCTTGCCATTTAGCCCATTCCACCCAACATCAAGGATGATCAAATTTTTGAGTTTACCTACATGCTCAGGATCAAGTGTTCCTTGCAAATGGTTGTTAGGGAAAGATAGGTGCTCTAGTGAGGTAACATTGAAGATCTCATCTGGGAGGGTCCCTGCGAACACAAGGTTGACAAGTACCCTTGTGTGTTCGTTTTGTGATGAGTGATTGTCAATGTGATCCACGAAGTGGGTTGAGTGGTGACTAACCCTACCATGGCGAAATCTATGTGTGCGACATGTCTTTTGGCTTGTGTTGTGCAGGTGTGGAGCTCGGATGCGGCGGTCGACGGCGAGGTGAAGGTCAAGGAGGACGTGCCGTGCCGACGGACCGGGAGCGGTGAAGGACGGACGTGAGGCTTGGACCGAGGGACCCAGAGGCCGGGTGACTAGCCGTGGTGGCTGACACTTGGGACATCGACAAATGCAAGAAGACATGGGAGTGACGGTGTTGACCGAGTCAAGACGGCGGACGTGCGGGTCGAGCGAGGCTCAGAGGACTTGGCGTGCCGGCCGGTCGAGGACGGCGGTGACACGTGTCGGGCGGCGGGGGACGCGTACGGAGTACGCTACTCGCGAGCGGGTTTGGTGGTTTGGACCTCAAAACCATCGGTGGCGGGTTTACAGGTTTGGCCCTCAAAACCCGGACGAAGGTTCCGAGGAGGAACGGACGGCACGTGGCGGCATCGGGGAGTTCGCGTCGAGGCGAAGCTACTGATGAGAAGGTGCGGTGGCCGTCGGATGAAGATGACACCGGGTTGGACCATAACGCCCTTTGGGCTAAGTGTTTGACTCAATAGTATTCGAAATGGCAAAACCGAGATTGTCTGATAAGCGCATTAAATAGGATGAAAGAATTTCATCTTTCTCTCTTCCCATTCTCTCTCTCATTTTCTTCCTTCCACTTAGAGTTAGCTCTTCTTCTATTTCTTAAGAGAGAGGTCCACTTATGAAGAAATTCGTGAGTGTAAACTGAGATTTGGTGTGGGAATGAAGGCCCGAATCCTCCAGTTGTCCTCCGGGATTCAGTGATTTTGTGTGTGATTTTCGTCACTGTGTTCTTGAATTTTTCCCCATTTTCGTTCATGCCTACGATCTCGTTTTCTCGGAGTTTGGATCAATCCAAGACAATGATTTCTTGGGGCTAGATTCGTAGCGCATTGAATTTGGTCTGTGCAAATTTTGGGCGCGGTTCGTGTTGATTTGATCCAGTTCTCGTCGGATATTTGGAGTCGCCTCCCTCTGTTCGTCGCTCTGTTCGTGCGCTGTTCTTGGGCACTCATGTACAGGCGTGCGCACGGGCGGCCCCAGCAGCACTCGGCGACAGCGGCACCAACGCCGGCCGCAGCTGCCGTGTGCGCTCACCAGAGCACCACTCGCCCCTGGGACATTTGAGACTTGTCCGCTCCTGTGCGCTCGGTTCCTGTTCGTCAGTCTTCGTTTTTGAGTCACGAGCTTCGGATATTGCAGCCGTTGTTTTGCCGTGTTCTCTACTGGACGGTGTGCATACCCTCGCCCGAGCTCTTCCGCATCGGTGAGCAGTCCCACCGGCTTCGTATTCCAGGCAACGTTGTTCGTCGTGTCTTTGGTCGCTGCCCCTTTTCAAGCAATAGTTTTTGAACTAATTAAATATTCACTTGTTTGATTAGTTTGTTGACTGGCTTGAGCATGTGCTCTCGTTAGCTTCTCTCTGTGCTTGTTTTGGCCCAACGTCCAGGAGGCAGGCAGCACCTCCTGGTGGTTGCTCATTCTTCAACTCCGAACTGTTGTTGCTTGCCAGTTTGGCCTGAGTGCCCAGTCTGTTTCATCTCTGCAGGAGAGCCAGTCCCCAACGCTCGGTGGTGTGCAGCCCAGCCATCGGCGAATTTCCAGCTGATTTTCTGGTGTAATTTTTCAGGCCTTGATTTCTCATTTTGAGTGCAGTTTGGTCATCTGAGCTCCAAATCGGATTTCGTCTGTTGCGTTGGTATTGTACCGTTCCAAAGAATTGATCTAAGTACTCTTGTTACCAGTTGGCTTGGGTATTTTAGTTTCGCCAGCCCGCTTGTGTTTGGGGTAACTTTGGGACAACGGTCAAATATTTTGCAAGAAATTTGAGGCTCCCATTCACCTCTCTCTGGTCGTCGTTTCCGGTCCTTCAATTGGTATCAGAGCCGGTTAAGGATCATTCCACCTTAATCGGTCCGTGATCCACGAAGACGACATGGAGCGTGGTTCCGGCAAACCACCGTTCTTCGATGGAACAAACTACCCCTATTGAAAGATCCGCATGTCTGCACATCTACAGGGGATTGATTGGCTTGTTTGGGAGATTTGCGAGGATGCTACCTACGTTGTGCTTGAACCCCGTGCTCGTGTCACGCAAGATCAAAAAGATCGGCACAACGCTAATAGCAGAGCTCGCTCAGTTCTTTTCTTGAGTCTTTCGCTTCAGGAGCTCGAGAGTCTCCGATTGTACTACTGCTCGAGAGATCTGGGTGAGGCTTCAGAGCTATCATGAGGGGACTGCACAGGTCAAAACCAGACTCTACGAGACGTACAAGAGGGAGTACGAGAACTTCACCCAGCTTGATGGCGAGTCCATCGATGCCATGTTTTCTCGCTTTCAGACCATTGTCAACAAGATGCGAGCAAACAAGGCACAGTTACCTTATGACGATCATGAGAGGGCACTCAAGCTTCTATATGCCCTAGATCGGAAGGTGTGGGATGTGAAGGTGACTGCCATCATTGAGTCTTCGGGGTATGAGACCCTCACCGTGGATGAGCTTTTCAACAAGCTCAAGTCCACCGAGATCGACTACCAGACCCAAGCCAAGCTCAAGAATCCCTCTGCACCGACTATGGCTTTGGTCTCTGGTAACGGCTCAAGTTCTTTGGCTAACCCCTCACAGATGTCGTTTGCCTTGTCTTCTTTGGTGTCTGTCACAGAGGAGCAATTGGAGGCCCTTGGGGATGACGAGCTGGCGTTGATCATCAGTCGGTTCTCGCGGTTTCACAACAACCGCTTGAATCGCCGGCGTGGTGGTGGTCCGAAGGAAGGATGCTACGGCTGTGGAGACCCTGACCACTTCGTCGCCCACTGCCCCAAGAAGAACAAGCACTCCTCTGACAAGCACGACTCCAGCAAGCGCAAGGACAAGCGTGAGTACACCTCCAAGCACAAGTCAAAGGGAGGATTCGACAAGGAGGCTCTCAAGAAGAAGTACTTCAAGAAGGTCAAGGCCCAAGAGCGCGCCTTCCTCGCCTGCCTTAGCAACCTCGAACAACGACACCGACGACGATCGTTCTTCTTCCTCGAGCGATGATGAGTCCGAGAAGAGACGTGAGGACAAGTTGACCGGGCTTTGTTTTGTCGCCAAGTCCATCCACGGAGGCTACTGCACCATGGCCGTGGATGAAGGGGTGAAGCCCAACAAGGACGTGCTTCCCGACGACGATGACTCTACCGAGGTAAAACCCACCATCGATGCTCTTATTGCCGAGCTTGATATCATGACTGATACTTTGATGAGTCAAGATAAGCTGCTAAAACGTGCTGCTCGTGAGAGGAAAGAATTTAAGGACAAGCTAGAGGTTGTGGAGAAGGAGCTTGAGGAAGCTAAGAAGCTTGTCGTTCATGTGTCTGACGAGGCTAAGTGTGATGAATGTGTTGTTCATATGACCAACTTTTCTGAGTTGCAATCTAAGTATGTTGTCTTGTTAGATGAGAACGATGAGCTGAAGGCTAGGTCTAGCTTGTTGGGTGCGTGCAAGTCTTGTTCGGGCTTGCAATCTGAGCTGGCAGAGAAGAATGCCAAGATCCTTGCTCTTGAGAAGGCCAGTTCAGATAGCACGGTTGTTGAGTGTGCACGTTGTGAGAGCATGGTGTTGGAGCTTGATTCTTGTAGGCGGGACAAGATGAGATCCGAGGAAGACAACACATACCTTCGATCCATCTTGAATTGGGTGTCTTGTAGTGAGCCGCAGTTGGGCATGATGATGAGCTAGTTCAGGCGGGGAACTGGGACATCGGGAGTAGGCTTTGCTTTAGGTGGGAAGGGTGAACATGTCTATGGCAAAGTTGGTGAGTTCAGTGGTTTAAGCCCAAGTGAGAAACCTTCCACTAATCCCAAATTGATCAAGATCAATCCACCTAAGCCTACCGAACCCACTGTAAAAGATGGAGTGTTAGAAGAACCTCCAAGAGCTCCACCCTAGAAACAAGTTTGGGTTCCAAAACCAAACCATCTCAGGAACCCACTTGACACTCTACCGAACATCTCTGAGGATCCCCTTCCTAAAGCCAAAAAGCTACCAAGAGTGACACATACCACAAGAAAGTGAGCCAACAACCACCCAAGAGAGAGGTGAGGTATCACTATGACTATTGCCATAGGGATGGTCACCTTGTTGAGTTTTGCTTTAGGAGGAAGAGAGATGAGCGGTGGGAGTATGAGTTGAACAACCGGAACATGTATCGCCCGCCCCATGGTGTACATGTGCCGCCTGTTCAGAGGCGCAATGCTAGGCCTCGAGGGGCATTGCCTCAAGGTGCTAGGCCTCAGGTTGCGAGACCACGCGGTGGTCATGGTGGTCGTGCCCGACGTGGTTCAGGTCGTGATCAATATGACTTTGGACCTCACGGCAGTGGCTTTCAGTCCTACAGTTCTAGCGGACCACGTTTTCCCCCATGTGGTGCCTGCTTTCCTCAAATGGGACATGGCATGTTTGATGTTTTTCCTAACACTTTCCCAGGGCAAATGAACCAACACTGGTATCCTTCATAGTTTACTAACCCTAGTGTTGCGCCATTTGCCCATCCCATGTCCTTCTATTGATGCAGGACAGAGGCCTGGAGAACACGTGGCTTATTAATTATGGATGTTCGCGCCACATGACCGGAAGCTCAAAATGGTTCTCCA